AACTCCCAGAATTCCCCAGCCAGCATGCTGGCTGGAGAATTCTGGGAGTTGAAGTCCACACGTCTTAAAGTTGCTAAGGTTGAGAAACACTGCACTATGCCAAAAATGATTAACCTTGGTGAACTTTAACTGAGCTTAGCATGTTGGATGAATCCTGGGTTTTCCTTGACCCAATAAGACTCATGTGTGAACACTGCTACCCAACCGTAAGCTAGAGAACCTCATTTTAATCAACAAGCTAGGGTATCCATAGGGAGGTGTCAGATTTGGCAAGATGGCAGAGGAAATGGGATGAAACCCCCAAGCACAAAGAGGGAGGAACTCCAAGATATATAGCCCCCTCGCTAAGGGTCCTCTGCTTTAAACATAAACCCAACCAATGTAAAAATGAAATGTGGAGATTTGTGGCGGGGAGATTTTAGATTCTTGGGCAGAAACAGATGCTGATCAGAAATTTCTGGGAGAAATGGATTGGAAACGGGGGGAGAATTTTAAGCGGGTTTCTGGCTGGAAAGTTTTTAAAGTTTTACCATTCTTTCAGGCTCTAGGCAGCTAACCATATAGGAATATATAAAATACTCCCAGAACCCCCCATGGAGATATAACATTAAAAAGCATGCGAAACACCTAACTGGCCTTCTGCAGGCATCCATTTCTACCACCAAGTTAACCCTGGTGCCTCACCCCATCTGCTCTTCCTTCATTCGGTCATGGCAGAAACCCACACCCAGCAACCTATGGGTCCTTCCACATAACCCATTTGACCCAGTTCTTGCCCTACGCTATGCCGAGCGTCAACTCACCCAACTGGCTGGCTTTAAACCAGATGTTAAGCCCCAAAAGACAGGCCAGGGTTACCCAAGCTGAGCCCACTGAGTGATGGCATCTGCTAACATTTCACCCAACCTGGTTTGGCGGGTTGTATGAACGCAGCCAATGTGGAGCAGGCAGACCAGTTCTGCCAGCTCATTTCTCTCGAAGCAAAAATCCCCTTGAGTTCAGAGAGGAAGGAAGGGGTAGGATGCCAGTCTCTTGTTTCCCAGGCTGGCTGGTAATTCTCCCTGCCCCCAGGGCCGGCTGCTGTTGTCAATCCACGTTCCCAGCTCAAACTTCCACCCAGCCCAGCCAGATACGCACAGAGGCAGCGGAGGGACAGGGAGCAGCCCAGCCGGTGCCAAGATGTACGATCGGACGCTGCAACTCACTCTGCTCTGGGCCCTCGCCTTGCCAGGTAAGAGGCCCCAATCCCACCTGATACCCGGGATGGGGGCACAGACATGGCCCTAAGGGGAAACTATCCCATGCTTTGCAAAAAACAGCTTCAGACAACCCCTGTATTTGGCATTTCTGAATGGCTGGGACACTGTCTTTAGGAAGGCATAATTCTGAAACCTGGAAATTGACCTAGAATAATCGAATCCTGGGGTTGGAAGGGACCTTGCAGGTCTTCTAGTCCAATCCTCAGCCCAAGGCAGGAGTCCTCAGACCATCTCGGACAAAGGGTGGTCCAATCTTTTCTTGAAAACCTCCAGCAATGGAGCACCCACAACCCTGGAAAGCAAGACTTCTTATCAGGGAGAGAAATCAGGAAAATGCCTTCCATTTTCTCATGTACTTTTTACATCTGAGGGTATAATTTGGGACCTGAGGTTAAAGAAGAGTTTGATTTGAGATGTATGTTGCTTTTCTTGATTTAGCTGTGTGCAAAAATGCAGGGTAGAGCCCCCCCCCAAATGCTTTTGTGTTTCCTTATAGAGAAAGCTATTGTATGTCATCTACAGGGGTGGGTGGATCACGGTGGGCGGGTCCCACTTTTGCACGTTTGATCTGCCCACCTCCTTCCATAATTTCTCCTCTGATCACTGTCCCCCAAGCACAAAGACAACTGTTGTGTGCACCTGTGTGTCTGTGTGTGTCTGTTTAAATAAAATCAGAATCGCAGAATCTTCCAAATATTCAATAGCACTTATCCAATTGTGTATCCAAATATTCAATATCATTTACTGAGCCTTCCTTTTGTAATAAGAAACTTCCTGGGTTTGTGAAGAAAGAAGCTGAGATTTTAGCCAAAACTTGAATAATAGTTTTCCTGAGGTTAGTTAAGGAAAAATCTTGCATAAAAGACCTCGCTGGCCACTGTAAAACCAAGGACCTCAGTCACGGAGAGGTTTCAGCCGAAGAAATAAAACGAATGGCTCCGTTTTATAATGTGCCCACTGTCAAGTATTTCTAGCTCCGTCCCCTTAAACTGGGAATGACCGTAAAGCACATTTTTGGCATTGAAAAAGTAGAATTCCATTGTAAATAATGTTTTCAAAGAGAAAAGGTAGATAGATTTTCAGAGAAAGGTATGGTGTGCTTTGGGTACACAATGCCCAATGATTACAAAAAAAATCTCCTGCTTGCATTGTGCAATATGTTCAGCTTCACCGATGATAACCTTGGCTAGTTTTTTCCTTAGGAGTTAGGCGATCGTCTGAACCCAACCCATGCCATGGGCCACGTGAAGTGAATGAACTTGAGCATCTGTTATAGAGCAGGAAAAGGGGGTACTTAAAACATCTCTCACAAGCCACTCCTGCCAAGTGTCCCCCAATAAAAGTCATTAAAGATGGCCGCTACCAGTCAGGCTAAACCAGTATGTCTCAACATTGACAACTTTAAGATGC